AGTGTGGGCGGGACCCGGCTCCATAAGCACATGCGCTGACATGCCTGTAATCTGGCTCCTTGTTGGTGGGGATGTACAGGAAACAGAATTATCTAATGCATTCTTATGGCGCCTTTTTTCCTCTCAAAAACGTCTTCACAGCCTGGTCCAAAAGTTGTTCTTGGCCCAACGTAGGTTCCAGTTGCTGTTAATGATGACGGGAATTTTTTTCTACATTTTCCTCTGGGAGGGGCCACTCACGGCCATTTTGAAAAAGTTGGTCACACATACAATCAACGGAGAAAATAGGCGTCGCTACGTTGTTAATATTTACAGTCTATGGTACACACATACTCAAACATACACACAAAGATATACACACACACACAAAGACTTACACACATAGTCGCACTCACTCACACACACTCACTCCCACACACGCATAACAAACACACGCACAAACATAGACACACAAACACACACACACACGCATTCCAACAGAAACAATAGAATTAACAGTGAGATTCTAGTGTTGTGGCCTCATTCTGCCCTCTCTGCTTTCTCTTCTCTTCATCACCGACGGCTCAGATCCTGGTGCTTTTCTCCATTCGCCGGAGTTAAAACACGGCTGCTGTGTTCACAAATCCCCCACAATGCACTGCGCGCGATCCGTCTGAAATCTCCCAGGATGCACTGCTCAGTGAAAACACTCTTTCATGTTTGGCGGGTCCCTACTGACGCTGTTTACTCACACGAACGAAGACCAAAGAACGCGGATCTGAAGAAATAATAAGATATCATAACATAAATATGCATTGTTTTACATATGTTGCTTGGAAACCACCATTTGCTAAACAACAAGGAACTCTTAAGGGGCGTTCACACCGGACTTAACTTCGGCGTCAAAAGCGTCAGGTTTCCATTGAAAGTGAATGGTGAAGCGCGTCAGGTGAAGCCGAGGGGCCCGGCGTCACTTGACGCGCGTCAAAAGCTTCAAGAGTCGCGCGTACTACGCGCTCACTTGAAGCTTTTGACGCGCGAAACGCTTGCGTATCACAACAATCCCTTTGACGCCGAAGTTGAGCAAAGCTGAGCTTTTGAAGCTTTGACGCGGGCTTCAACCAATCAGGAGACGAGGAGCAGCAGCAGCAGAGGGTCTGTCTCTGTCATGAAGAGAAGTCATGTATCTGCTGCTGCTGTTTTATTGTCATTATTGTTATTAGTAATATTATTTGTATGAGTAGTAACATTCTGAGTAACAAAAATCATTGTACACATGCTGTGTAGTAAACGTAGTTTATTTAAAATAAGAACAGGCTGACGATGAGTCTGGCTCAGAGCAAGGCAGCTCCGGGCGAGAGCCAGGGAGAGGCAGGGAGAGGCGAGTGAGAGGCAGGGAGAGGCGAGCGAGAGCCGGGGAGAGGCGAGCGAGAGGCAGGGAGAGGCGGGGTTTGAGAACTCAGACTGGGCAAGTGACATGCGGAAGTACCGCTGAAAGCGAAACTCCTCCGTACGCAGCTCCTGGAGTAAATGACAGAACTCTGCAAACACTGCAGCCTCTCAAGTCTGTGGTGAACCCAGAACATGTTTTGTTGAAGCCCTACAACAACGTTATTTTGCTTTATATAACAAATAAAGGCTCGCTGCTCATTGAAAAATCCACCGCTGTCCTGACTACAGACAACAGAGAAGCTCCTCCCACCGGCGTCAGGCGCGTCACTCGCGTCAAAAGCTTCAAGCACCAAAATGACAAAATTATCCCGGCGTCAGTTGAAGCGCGTCAAAAGCTTTTTGAAGCTTTTGGTCTGAACGCGCCTTTACAGGGACAGCTGAAGGATTTTATCTTTACTATTTTTTGTTGTACTGTGATTCTTTAGGATTTTAATGCTTTGTGATTAAGATCTTGTTTTGCTCTCTGGTCTCTCTCTAGTCTCTCTGGTCTCTCTCTAGTCTCTCTAGTCTCTCTCTAGTCTCTGGTCTCTCTCTAGTCTCTCTCTGGTCTCTCTCTCTAGTCTCTCTGGTCTCTCTCTCTAGTCTCTCTGGTCTCTCTGGTCTCTCTCTGGTCTCTGCTCCTCTTGCTGCTCACTTTTTGGAACATCACTTAGCAACAGTGATCCGTATCTCCCATTCTACACATTCAGAGCACGCAGCGCTCTGTAATGTCTCAAAATCGGCGTCTGCCTCGGCCCACTTCACTCCCAGCGGCTGATCTGGTGTTCGCTGGTCTTTTGAGCAGGTCCAGGAGGTCACTGTGGTTCACTGGTCACGCCGCCCCCTACTGCTGCCTTATGGTAATCGCCCTTTTTACATTTAAATCACTTTTTTCCTGGACTCTGAAACAGACCAGATGCAAAGTGCTTATGGGGTTTTGCTGAATGCTTGGTGAACTCATTTGATACATATGCAGGTGGTAGAAGGGATTCTGTGGGTAAAAACCATTTAAGCAAGTACTCAAAGCTGGGGTCCCTGTCTTTGCAACTAACCTTGACCATTGAAAGGTCTCTCTCTGGCCTCGTTCTCTGTAGTTTTTCAATCTGTTCCCTGTCTCCGGTCTCTTTCTGGTCTCTCTCTGGCGTTTCTCTGATCCCTCTCTGGCCTCTCTTTCTCTGGTTTTTCTCTCTCTGGTTTCTCTCTTTGGTCTCTCTCTGGCCTCTCTTCGCTCTGATCTCTCTCTCTCTGGTTTCTCTCTTATGTCTCTCTCTCTCTGGCCTCTCTCTCCCTCTGATCTTGATCTCCAGTCTCTCTCTGGCATGTCTTTCTGAATCTCCCTCTGTCTTCCCTGTGGTGGAAAGCCAACACTGATCCAAACCACACGCCTCTCTCCCTCACAGTTCTCGCTCTCAGTGTCTGTCTTTCTCTTGATCCGAAAGCTAAACATTTGTTCAAAAGCAGTAATTGGGTCATGTACCTGCAGGCTGAAGCTGGGCCTGGACCTGGACCTTGATGGCGGAGGTCCACAGTCTCCCTTTCTGTCGATAGGATGAGACAGTAGGAATCAATGAGAGCAAACCAGGCGAAGCAACCGCATAATTAACCCCGACTACACAGACAAACATCTGATTCATATCATCCACAGCAGGTTAAAAGATCAACGCTGAAGAAATATAAAGATTAAAGTTTAGTAGATAAATATAGATAGGCCAATTTAAACGTGCCAGTTGAGAGACACTTCACGGTTCTGGTCAGGACTAAAGTGATGCTACTTCCTGGTTCTGGTCATGACTAATGCGATGCTATTTCCTGGTTCTGGTCATGACTAATGTGATGCTACTTCCTGGTTCTGGTCAGGACTAATGTGATGCTATTTCCTGGTTTGGGTCAGGACTAATGTGATGCTACTTCCTGGTTTGGGTTAGGACTAATGTGATGCTACTTCCTGGTTCTTGTCAGGACTAATGTCACTCCCGTATTCGTCCCTGAAAGCGGATTGGTCCTGAAGTTCAGTTTGCGCACGTCAAAAAGTGTAATACTGTAAGTCCTTACGTGGTGACTGGTAAAGTTTTAGGTGTCTAAGTAAGATGGTTAAGTTTAGGGTTAAGGCTGGGTTGGGGTTATTTTATGGGAATGGCTGGTTAAGTTTAGGCATGAATAGGAAGTTTGTTATATTTAGATCTACTACTGCGTATAATCAATGGATCAAACTGAACTTCCGGACGAATCCGGTGTCCGGGACGAATCCGGGAGTGACAACTAATGTAATGCTACTTCCTGGTTTTAGTCAAGACGTTGGTCCCTCAACGCAATTGATTCTATCTTTTCAACACGTAAGCGCGGGTCTGGAGAGCCCGTGTGCCCGGACGGGACTTCACCAGCGGGGTATACGCTTGACAGCTGGAACAAGTTTCAGCCCCTCTGTCTGTCGACCCTGTCCATTGAAGATTCGGAAGACGTATATATCTTTGGCATTTTGGTGGTGGGGATCCTCCTGTTTGGGTTTGGAGCGGTTCTCTTCTACCACAAATTCGGAGGCATGGCAGTTCGCAAGATTCACGACCTGCTGGCCGAAAAAATTGATGGGATGTACAAGGAGCTTAACCGAGTCGTGGTTGAGAGCGCTGTGGCTGGACAACGAAGAGTGGTGTTAGTGGAACAGTTGATCAGAGATCTCGCAGCTCGTTCACTTGATGGTCATAAGACTCTGGAATTGAGATTGAATGACATTGTCTGCCAGGCTTGAACTCTCTGACCCGGCTTGGATTTGCCCCTGTGTACGGGGTCTGAGGGCGCTGTAATTTGGTCTAATTGGATTTAATAGAATATCTGCCTGTTTTTGACTGCTAAACTGCATACAATATTGTCCCTCGTTACAGGAGATGTGTTCTCTCCCTATTGTGTCTTCCCTCCTCTCTTATCTCACATTCCTCGGGCCAAGGCCATCATAATAAATCTGGTCTCTACAAAAATTTCACACTCTTTCAGTCTTCCAGTTTGGATCCCGCTCCCCCCGCCTCCCTCTGATCTCTCCCTCCCCTCCCCTCCTTACTGTGTTTCCGACTCACCCCCTCCCTGACCCCGCCCCCCTCTGACAGCCACATTGGACCGGCAGGCCGGAGGTGCTCATCCCGTGAAAAAAATCCGTGGTTTATACAAAGCACAATGTTTTCTATCCAACTGTCTGTTGTTACCTGAATGTTATTGCTCTCTGCTGTTTCTTGCTGCACACAGCGCCGCAAATGGCGAAGTGGCACGCTCTCTGCCAAGACAATTTCCAAGTGATAACTTTGTTACTCACGTGGCAATAAAAATGATTCTGATTCTGATTCTGATTCTAATGTGATGCTACTTAATGGTTTTAGGTAGGACTAATGTGATGCTACTTCCTGGTTCTGGTCAGAACTTGAGCTGCAGTCTCTTGTTTCTGTCTAAACTTAAATAGTGCTGACGTTTGCTCTGCAGCTGTGTTTCCCAGGTCACATTTCTGCCTTGATCACGAGGACTCGGTCACCTCTGCTCACCTCTGTTCCCTCCATCACCTCCTCCACCTCCTCCTCCTCTCTCTTTCATTCACACCTGCAGCGATAATGCATCCAGGAGATTGTCTTCTGCCTGAACCTCATCTGGGGAAAGAGGTGATAATGAAAGAGACACAAAACACAGAGCAGGAGATGCATTCTGAAATAACCCCTTCAGAGAATGAAAGTGTGTGTGTGTGTGTGTGTGTGTGTGACAAGACTGTAGCATCAATAATAACATGCAGTTTTGTTTTAAGCTTGTAGAATTTACCTTCAATGGATCCTTGCATTTCTCTGGTTTCTTTTCAGACAATACAGAGAATATGTTTAGTAATTTGGTGAAGCTTTAACATTAAAGACCAGGAGTTTCTCTGTTCGGTTGAATATTTCATTTATTCAAGAGCGATCCATCGCAGAACTGTCTCATGGTGTGGATTTTGTTGATTTATTAGTCACACTTAAGTTTAGCCCTCACTAATTAACAGCTAATTAAGTGCTAATTAGTGTATGATTTATGGTTCATTTTTGTGTGACTGTTTCCATCTTATTTTGTTCAGGACTTTGAGTTGCCTTGTGTGCTGTACAAAACCATAAAAATGCTTCTGTACCACTTCAGGAACTTTACCACTTTACGCACCTCCAGGATTCATTTTTCCACCTCAAAATGGGACGACTGCGGTTCAAAATAATTGTTAATTAAAATTTGCTCCAGTCTCTGCTCCAGTCTCTGCTCCAGTCTCTGCTCCAGTCTCTGCTCCAGTCTCTGCTCCAGTCTCTGCCTCATGGTGCTTTCAGACCGCCGACGCTGAAACGCGGAAGCCCCGCTCACCAGACGCGCATTCTCTAGTTTTCAGACGCAGAGGACTTCACACCAGAACGTCCTGACGCGAGCCAGAAGTACCGGAAGTAGCCGGCCGGCTCTAATGCTAACAGAGCTATGCTAGCAGCTTCTTGTGTACCGATCTTCTCCAATATGCAGCTTTGCAGCGTGTCTTTGCTCACAGACATTCCACGGGCTTTATATAACAGTAGTATGTGTTCACGGAGGTGCGCCATACGTGTTTTTATATTATTAAACGGACACACTCGAAGCAGTTGCATAAGGTCACGGGAGCATGACAACGCATATTTTCACAAGCACAGAGTCCCCCATTGTCAACCCTGGTTTGAGTTCTGGTGAAGCCTGGTGTGGGTCCTGTTTTGGCTGTTTACGAGTATTTTCAGTCTGCTCGCTCAGTCCGCTAATGTCCCCGTGACCACTTTGCTGCTCTTTGATTGGTTGTCGCACGAACGTCCCAAGGAAAGGATGAGCAGAATCCATCTCCTGTCGGCGTCGATTTTTCGCTCCTGCTCCTCCCTTTTCACTTTCCCGCCAAGTCCGTGCGTCATTATTGAACAGTCCGTTCGTGCGTGCCGAGAGGTCCGTGCATTGTGACGGCCGAATGCGCGCCACCATAGACTTTGCATTGAAACCCGACGCAACGCATGATCCGGTCTGAAAGCACCATCAAAGCACCATCAGTCTCTGCTCCAGTCTCTGCCTCAGTCTCTGCTCCAGTCTCTGCTCCAGTCTCTGCTCCAGTCTCTGCTCCAGTCTCTGCTCCAGTCTCTGCCTCAGTCTCTGCCTCAGTCTCTGCTCCAGTCTCTGCTCCAGTCTCTGCTCCAGTCTCTGCTCCAGTCTCTGCTCCAGTCTCTGCCTCAGTCTCTGCCTCAGTCTCTGCCTCAGTCTCTGCCTCAGTCTCTGCCTCAGTCTCTGCTCCAGTCTCTGCTCCAGTCTCTGCTCCAGTCTCTGCTCCAGTCTCTGCTCCAGTCTCTGCCTCAGTCTCTGCCTCAGTCTCTGCCTCAGTCTCTGCCTCAGTCTCTGCTCCAGTCTCTGCTCCAGTCTCTGCTCCAGTCTCTGCCTCAGTCTCTGCCTCAGTCTCTGCCTCAGTCTCTGCCTCAGTCTCTGCTCCAGTCTCTGCCTCAGTCTCTGCTCCAGTCTCTGCTCCAGTCTCTGCTCCAGTCTCTGCTCCAGTCTCTGCTCCAGTCTCTGCCTCAGTCTCTGCCTCAGTCTCTGCCTCAGTCTCTGCCTCAGTCTCTGCTCCAGTCTCTGCCTCAGTCTCTGCTCCAGTCTCTGCTCCAGTCTCTGCTCCAGTCTCTGCTCCAGTCTCTGCTCCAGTCTCTGCCTCAGTCTCTGCCTCAGTCTCTGCCTCAGTCTCTGCCTCAGTCTCTGCTCCAGTCTCTGCTCCAGTCTCTGCCTCAGTCTCTGCCTCAGTCTCTGCCTCAGTCTCTGCCTCAGTCTCTGCCTCAGTCTCTGCCTCAGTCTCTGCCTCAGTCTCTGCTCCAGTCTCTGCTCCAGTCTCTGCTTCAGTCTCTGCTTCAGTCTCTGCCTCAGTCTCTGCCTCAGTCTCTGCTCCAGTCTCTGCTTCAGTCTCTGCCTCAGTCTCTGCCTCAGTCTCTGCCTCAGTCTCTGCTTCAGTCTCTGCTTCAGTCTCTGCTTCAGTCTCTGCCTCAGTCTCTGCCTCAGTCTCTGCCTCAGTCTCTGTCTCTGCCTCAGTCTCTGCCTCAGTCTCTGCCTCAGTCTCTGCTCCAGTCTCTGCTTCAGTCTCTGCTTCAGTCTCTGCCTCAGTCTCTGCCTCAGTCTCTGCCTCAGTCTCTGCTTCAGTCTCTGCTTCAGTCTCTGCCTCAGTCTCTGCCTCAGTCTCTGCCTCAGTCTCTGCCTCAGTCTCTGCCTCAGTCTCTGCCTCAGTCTCTGCTCCAGTCTCTGCTCTAATCTCCATGTTAGCCACACAAGCCCCATTCATTAAATGAGTGGCTTTTGGGGTCTACAGCGGCTAAACTAGACTGGTAAAAAACCAAAAACAGCATTGACACACATCTGGAACGCCAACTTTTGGACCCAAAGACGTTTTCGAGAGGAAAGAAGACGCCATACAAAAGCATTGGGTAATTCTTATTCCACCCCCACAGGCCCGGAGTGGGATTGCAGCATGTCAGCGCATATGCTCATGGACCTTTTGGAGCCGGTGTAACGCCGAGATACACTGCCTTGAAGAGATGCAAAGCCTCAGCTGTTTATGACGTAATGCAAACCTGCGCATGCGCGTCTCACGGCAGCCGAAGCAAACCAAGATGGCGGTCCATGAATTTCTTTAAAAGTTACAATACAAACAAATTAAGACACGAATGTCACTTTTAATGCAATTTGAGGCGAGATGTTGATGGTTCCGTGTTGTCACCTGTGGGTTTTAAGAGTCAAAGTTTTGTGCAAAGTTTAGTTTAAGCAGTCAACTGTGCCTGTGAAACCACAAAGCTAATGTTTTCATAGCAGTCCGCGGCTGCTGACGTAGGCAGATGACGCGTCCTGTGGCCACTCTACAGCTCACAACTGGTCTGTCCGGTTGATAATGGAAAATGGGGAAAAAAATCGATCTAATTAAATATTTCGTTTGAACACACTATTGTTAAATCATATTAAATACAGTACAATAAATGTATTAAATTTAATTTATTATTTCCATTATCAACCCAACAGACCAGTTGTAAGCTGTAGAGTGGCCACCGGAGGTGTCATCAGCCTACGTCAGCAGCCGCGGACTGCTATCATAACATTAGCTTTGTAGTTTCACAGGCGCAGTTGACTGCTTAAACTAAACTTTGCACGAAACTTTGACTCTTAAAACCCACATGTGACAACACGGAACCATCAACATCTCGCCTCAAATTGCATTAAAAGTGACATTCGTGTCTTAATTCGTTCGTATTTTAACTTTTAAAGAAATTCATGGACCGCCATCTTGGTTTGCTTCGGCTGCCATGAGACGCGCATGCGCAGGTTTGCATTACATCATAAACAGCTGAGGCAGTGCATCTCTTCAAGGCAGTGTATCTCAGTGTTACACCTGGACCCATCCCAAGCCCCGGTGATCCAAGATGGCGCCCTATTCAAATGAATAGCTTGTGCTCACTTGTGCATGGGTCTTCATGGAGACCGGGAGATTAGCTGAACTCGCTTATATTTGGGCATCGTCTGGTCCTCCCGGCAGTGGATTATCTCCATTGATGCGTTGCGCTATCTCCCATGATGCGTCGCGCACAGAGGGGCTCGGCCGCGCGCTGACCAATCATAGCTGCTGATCAGAAGAGCGGAGCCAAAGCGGGAAGTCAAGGAGCAGAGTTTGTGGCAGTAAAGTGTGGATTTAAAGAAAACCGAAGGATTTTAAGAAGAAAAAAAGTTCAGGAGGACAAGGGACACTGAAATCCACACAAAATCCGATATTTCTGAAAGCTGTAGGTTCTCTGTCAGGTGAGGTCGAGCTGTTTTAGTTTACATTGAGTTCTATGGGACTTTTTTCTGGGTAGCCCTCGTGAATTTAGTTTGCAGTACCACGGGCGCCCCTTGTGCCCATGGGTGGGACAGCTTTAAGCTAGTAATACCCTATCCAGTTATTATTATAGATCCTTATAAATGAACTCAATACACCACTTCAGTTCAGACCAGTTTCAATTTTAAGTCCAGATAATAGTTTGAGTGTAGACATGTTTTCTTGCATTTGGAAATAAGCCCAGTTGAGTTTTAAAAAGTAAAAACAAACAGGCTGCTTTAAAGTTTATTCTTTGAGCCACAGGAAGCCAGTGCAGAGACCTGAGACCAGGACTAATGTGACGGTACTTCCTGGTTCTAGTCAGTACTTGAGCTGCGATGTAATATGCACTATATAAAAATAATATTCCTCTTTAACACAAACTGCATGTGTTGTTGGTGAGTTCTGCTGCACAGTAATCCCACCCGTTAACATGTTTTTAACTTAGCCTCAGCTCCCGCCCTCTCTCTATAGATCCAGGAGCCGTCAGAGTGGCACTTGGATCGACAGATGGGTCACGTGTTGCGGTGGGTTTGATTGACAGCTCGCCCACCCAGAGGAGGAAGTGTTTGTGGAGGTGTGGATGTGAGACTGACAGCTTTCAGAAGGAGAAGGATGAAAGAGATGAACGTGGCGTTAAGACAAGTTAAATGCAAATACAAGACCATACAGTGAGAGTTATTTTTCACTTGACTGGCACGTTTGTTTTGTGGTAAACGGCTCATATCTGGATTCACAAAGTCAATAGCACAATATAAACGGCAGGATCATAAAAAGAGCTAAAGCACAGATTTTTAAAACCCAAAATGGTGTGTGTGACTCAAACGGTTATTGAGCTAGAGGAGTTTAATTTTACATAAAATGTTAGTCAATAGGAGCCAGACAAAGTTGGAGCAAAACTTTGTCCATAAACACTTCCCTATTGGGCTTCATTGAGCTAGCGGGTTAGCGTTGTCTATCTGTGTACAGTCTATCTTTTTATGAAGGAACACTGTTGTCACTCAAATGCTGGACAAAGACTTCTAAAGAATCAGAATTATATATTTATTCATCATTGGACTGGGACTCTGAGGAGCACAGGGACTGGCCTCCTGCTGGTCCCAGAGTCAGGCCTAAACATGGGGAGGAAGCATTTCCGATTCATTCAGCTAAAATCTAGAACGGTCTTCCGGAAAATGTGAGACAGGCTTCTTCTCTGACAATTTTCAAATCCAGGTTAAAAACTGTTCTGTTTAGCTGCAAACAACTGAAGGATTGTTCCTTTACTCTTTGTAATGTCCTGAGATTCTCCATGGTTTTAATGCCTTATGTGATTGTTTCCACCTTGAGTATGAAATGTGCTCTACAAATAAACTTGTCTTGCCATTGACTGCTTGATAATCAAAATGCCTGCGTCCCCGTGGCCTCTCCTGGTCCTGATTGGTTCTGTGGTTCCTCACCCCGGTGCATCTGCATTCAGAGCTTCATTACGCTTCTGCTTCACCAATGTTCAATTTCCTCAAATGGAAAAAGTATAATCTGGAGGTGGATTTGTGGTTTCTCTGTCTGCGGCTGGAGAGAGAGGAGTGAGGACAGAGGAGTGATAACAATTAGGTTCTTCCTAGCTTCTGGTTGATGTCTGCAGAGTCTGTTATGTTTGGACCAGTTCCTCTGCTCTGGTTCAGAGTGAAATTCCGAAAGCTTTATTAGCATCAGTGTAAAGCTAGAAAAAGCAAGAGAAATGTCAATAGTAAAACACAAAAAAACTGTTTCAGGACTACTTAGGACTTGCTGCTGTTTCCAGTGCGTTCAAAAGAAGTTCCTATTATTAGCGTGGATGGATCCAAACACAACTCCAGTGGAGTTTACATGTTCTCCCCGTGTTTGCGTAGGTTTCCTCCAGGTGCTCCGGTTTCCCCTACCACTAAAAGTATGTACAATAGTTCAGGGTGAATGAGTGTGTAGTTGTGAGTGCAACTGTGGAACGACGGATGAAAATTAATCGCTAAGGCTACAATCCGGAGTGATGAGTTCATTAACCATCCATCCATCCATCCATCCATTTTCTTCCGCTTTATCCGTTGCCGGGTCGCTGGCATTAACCAAATAGGTTCATTAACCAAATAGAAAATTAACTAAACTAATGTGAAATATTGTTTGTACTTGTAATAGAAAATACACTATTATACACATGCCTCTTTGGCCTGAGCTCTGATTGGCTGATACAGAGATCTTTAACCTTAAACCCAGCCGCAGTAGTATACAGCATTATCTGCGTTTTGGAGGAGTCATTGAAGCAGCCTCAGTGTTATCAGCCTCAGAGATGGTAATGTCCTGCTGCCCTTAAATGCCACGCTGCTCAGACGCAGATCTGGCGCGTAGCCCGATCTCTGGTGCCATTCATTACTTTAATAGCGCACATTATCTGAGGCATGTTTTATCGACACAGAGGCTGACATTCAACCAAATATCACCGTCGTATATATATAGAGATGCGATGGAGACGTCTGCATCGAGCAGAGGAAAGATTTTGACGAGAAATAGCTCAACTTGAAACAGGGATATGGTTTAGAAAAAGATCGACCAAAGTTTGACGATGGCGGATTTAAAGTTGAACTATAAGGCATTGTTTTTAGACATTCAAAATCATGATGTAGCTATTAACTCATTCACTGCCAGCCATTTAAAAAGCAGCATCCCTCATACTGCCAGAGTTTTTTTGACATTTTTAGTGTTTTTCCGAACCACATAGAAATGTGAGCCCTTGGTTGACACAAGTATGAAACATACCAAATGAAAGCTATATCCCTTGGCTTTCATTTTTAAAAAAAAGTAAGTTTCTAACCCTTTTAGTTTTTTAGCAATTGAGAGTGCAACATAGGTAACTTTCACACAAAATGCTGTTTCCTGACCAAGATTTGGAGAAAACAGCCTTTTTGTGAAACGCGCATTTTCAAGCAGAAAAGTGGGGTTTTTTTGTCTTTACTGATATTTTACAATGTATGACAGTTTCTTACTATGACACAAAACAGAAACAATACTTTGAATTGTATTTTTAATGTATAATTATTTTTAAACAAATTAAACGTGTACACACAATACACTCAAAGGATTGTCTTATGTACACATAAAATATTCAACTTGTATACAATAAAAACACTTTGTACACAAATATACAGTAAAAATAACACTTTCTGAACACTTTGTGAAACAATTTTAATTTAGTTTATAAAGAATAGTAATTGGGTGACCCCACACTCTGCTGAAGTGTGGAATCTACTTCCTCCGCACTCCCAATACATTTCCAGATTCGTTTTTTTTTTTACAAACCCAGTGAGAAATGTCAAATCAAAAAAGGTTTTTAGCTGCTAGACTGTCACTGGCTTCCATGCGTTTTCTCTGCTGAATGGGAGACGCTGTGTGTGTGCACTGAAATATTGTGCTGCATACAGCTTTGTCTGTTTGACAACAAGATCCAGGATCCAGCAGTTCATCAGTTATGAAGAGCTGCAGAAGTCAGCTGCTGATCCAAATCAAGCTCTGCTGCAGCATTTTGGGGTCCTGGGGTCAACAATCTACAACACAAAGGAAAATATAAAATCACCATACATTTTCACATTATAACAAGTGTTTTGGCTTCAGCAGCTATGACATTGAGATAAAAAAATACTCGCTAAAAACACTACTTTATGTTTATTTTTACTATAGTATAAGCCAGTGATTGCTATCACTCAGTCCAGAATCTCTCAATGTTTGAACGCAAAACCACGCAGACTCTGGGATCAGAGCAACAGAGTCAGTCTCTCTCCCTGTTCCAAAGCAGCAGCGGGCGCGCTCCTGACGCACCCTCCACAGTGAGACGCACCACAGCAGAATGCACATGGTGCGGTAAATCTAACACTTGTTTCTCATCATGGGACCTGCTCACCGGTCTGCCATGGATCACCTTCCCCTGTCCCTTCTATAAACCACACGGTAACATCATCCATAGCTCCCTGGCAGCTAATGCCGCATGCCAGACTCACACGCCTCCAAACTGAACAGAGAAACTTTTGGAAAAATGTCCCGCGTAATCAAGCATTTTACCCCGTAATAATCATTCATCAATCAACAATTGCGCGCAAATCCTGGAGGGGCTGATAGTACATTAGACAAAGGGGAGAAATAAACTCGTAAATGCAACATGTCGAAGAGAAAAGCAACTTACCACATTACGACGGGGGAGGAGCCGCTGCTGCTGCTGCTGCTGCTGGACGAGGAGGGAGGGGGAAGGCTCCGAGGATCCTGGAGTCTCTGAGGTTAACTAAAACCTGAAGAACTAGCATCGTGGCATCTAGCTGCTTCATATTTATCCGTTTGATGACTGAACAGGCTCTCAAACAGCGTTAGCTGCGTGAGCTTTTCAGATCCGCGATCCTCTGTGTAAGCATGGCTGCTCCTCTGGCTGTTTGCTGCTCACAGCACCACATGCCCCCTTCTCCCTCCCTGGATCTGGCCACAGTGTCACCTCTGCCCCCTACAGGATCGGTTCCAAAGTGTTTACAGGTCTGAAATGTTGACACAGGATGCACAAGAGCCTTGACGAGCCATAGAAAGAAAAAAACAAAAAAAAAGCGATTGACGTATATAGACGTCAATGGCGGTGAATGATTCGTTTCGGAATGTGAAATAATAAGATGTAACTCAGTATATGGTTTCGATGACGTTAGCTTCGGGGCAGGCATGTTGCCAACATGATTGCTAATTAGGGGTGGGCGATATTGTATACGTTAATATCGCAAAGTGAAATTGAAGATATGCTTTTTCGGATTATCGTCAATTAAAAGAAAAAATGTTTTGCAAAGATGTGTGAAGCACTTAACAAGTAAAAAGCTGCTTTTTTGGTCTACACTGTATCTATCTATAGATGCCCTGGCAAGCAAAACATTGCGGATCATTTTGTGTAAAATGATCATAAGATGATTTTTAAGATATCTTGACAATATCGTTATCGGGAGTTGGAAAAAAATTATCAATAAGTTTATTTTTTATCGCCCACCCCTATTGCTAAGACAAGCTGAAGTTTGGCCAGTCCTCATACAGGCTCATATCTGGATTTACAAAGACAATATAACAATATAAACACCAGGATCACAGATTTATAAGCCCCACACGATGAGTGTGACACAAATGGTTACTTATCCAGAGGGGTAACCATTGCAAAGTTGAACATTTATGGTGGAACAAGTATGAAGAGTGACCTGTAACTCCTTATACTACCACCAGAGGGAGGATTGGAGAAAAACCCAAATGCAATATCGCGGATACAAGCAGTTCACAAGTTTCCTCCGCAGAGTGGCTGGGCGTTCCCTTTGAGATAGGTAGATGAGCTCAGTTACACAGGGCAAGTTCGGAGTAGAGCCACTGCTCCTTCACATCAAGAGGAGCAGGTGACTGGTTTCTTGCCTTAGCAATTATGTTAGCAACACTCCCCCGGCGAATCTAACGCCGTCTGAAACAAATGCCTATATAAGGAGTTTGGCTTCAGCTAGCTTATGCTCCAATCGGCTTCTTTAGCATTAAGGCTAACGCTATGGTGATGTCACATTCAGTCAGTCCACTCCTATTACACTCTGGCTCTGGCTATGGCTGTAACTAACAATTACTTTAAGAAATAATGAATTGAGCGACTATTCTTTCATTTAATTGATTAGATGTTTAGATGTCACTATGATTTTTGTTTACTTTCGAGTATGCTAAACACATATGGTGCCAAGCCCAAACAAGGCAAAGCTAATGATAACAAGAGTGTCATAATGCCACAGCAAAAATCTTTAATTACAAGAAACCTCTTTTCACCACTTTTGGAAGATGAATCAGCAGTAGTCTCTCAGTCCCAGTCTCAGTCTCAGTCAAGGTCAAATGCAGCTGAGTCGCTCTTATGGCGTCAAAATAGGGTCTGCTTAAACGTAACCGTAAAGCAGGAATTGTAAACGTAGGTTGTAAGTATTGTAAACATAAAAAAATATTGTAAACGAAAAAACTGTAGCGTAACCGTAAAGCAGGAATTGTAATCGTAGGTTGTAGTATTGTAAACATTAAAAATATATTGTAAATGAAAAAAATTAAAACTTACATTTACGGTTCTGATTTTTCATGTTTCGCTTCAAAAGTTACGTTTACGATTCACAAGTTACGTTTACGATTCACAAGTTACGTTTACGATTCACAAGCTACGCTTACGAGTCAAAACTTACGGTTACGATACATTTTTCATCTGACCCCTTTTTGGAGGGGCGGGCTCAGCGCGCCCATTGGCTGGAGACACCGGATGTCACAAAAGCAAAACATACGCACGTTGCTACAATCTTTACAGTCTGGTTACTACAGAAGACGAAGAACAGGCTTCAGGCCATCTACGGAGACCTGCGTACATAAATGCTAAGAGCAAACTTCATAGCTGGTAAGTGTCTGTGTCCTACAGAAGCTAATAATGAAAAAGTCCACTCCAACCCATAAGTGATCACTTGGTTACATCATGTCGCTATAAGAAGAGAACCCGCTGCTACCTGATTTAATCATGATCAGTCAAGTTAAAGCCAGCTCACTTTTAGCGCCGCTATAACAAACAGCTGACGTTGCTAAAATGCTAACATTAGCTGTTTTGCTAAATAAGTAGCTAGGGAGGCTCCTTCGTTTTAGTCTGAGGAGAAACAGTCTTCAAATAACTAACTAAACAGTTGTTCATAAGTGAGCCTGCGTAGCCTTCTAGTCACAACAATACTGATACTGTGAGTGGATGAAGAGCACACCAATATTTTAGAGCTAAAATCACAAACTTGTCTTTTTACCATTAATACAAAGACAACTGGAGAACAAAAGTTTTCAACCTGTATACCACTCAAAATGTAGTAACTACTTATTAATGTGGCTTTTTCCCTTTATCAGGAGAACTGCGCCTTGCATCTGAGGAGGGGACTGCTGAGCTGAATGAATGGATAGACGTGAAGTGGATGTGTTTTATTTTGTGCAGAGCTACTAGTAAATGTCATTCAGTGGTCCTCCTTGTGTCCTGCTCCTTCTTCAGACAGCGCAGAACATAAAACATAACGCAGATTACACTAATAAAGGGGTTAATGGGTGTGCACCAGGTTAAGACTGTAATTGAACATTAAAAGCAAGTTACATGTCCATACCCTGCCATACAGGAACAGTTCAGGGTAAGGATGTGCACAGAGTCTTTGTAGACGTACTGACTTAATGCCCACTCTCTGACTGGGAGCACATCAGCCTCAAAACAAAGAACTCAGTCCCAGAGTGGAAGTATTTCACATGTCCACATAATTGTATGTATTTATAGATCTATATGCTATGTTTTTTTTGTTTTTAATAATTTGTTTTTGCCTTACAACCAAGTAAAAAAAGTGTATTTTAAAAACAGTTAAAAGCATCATGGAGAGAGGAGAGTGTGGTTATGATGTTAGTGAGTGGGCTTGTCAGAACAGATGAGTTTTGAGGGTGGATTTGGAGAAGCTCTCTTCCACATGGTGAAAAGGCGGGCAGGAGGGACCAAGAGCTGGAGAGGATAGGAGGAGCGGAGGGAGCGGGCAGGTGTGGAGATCTGGAGGAGGTCAGTCATGTATAAACACTGTATGTCTGGATGAGGAAGTTATAGATATTAGGCCAGGTAACAGACAGCCATTTACTCCTATCTACAACCCACTGTTCTGTGAGAATAAGTGCTATTATATGTTTATTTGATAGGCACAGAACTAAAAGTATTGATACAGGTGGCCGATACCATGTTCATAGGCTGTATAGCTAGCACTTAATTTGCAGACCTGGTCCCTAAGACATGAAAATACATCACATTTATATAGATTATTATAAAACCACAGTTTTACATCTTGCTGGTCTGCAATGTGTGGTGCTGGTGCCCATCGCAGAGATAACCTGCAAGATCAGAACTAAACAGAGTTTCTGTGTGATTTTAGGAATCTTAACCATCCTAAATTAGCAAACACAGTACAGGTACAGTAGCCAAATATCGTAAAATTAATGGCCTTAACAGGTTAGCCCCGATTTGAGCTACTTAACTTTAAGTTAATTTTGATAAGATATCATGAAGCCAATGGAACGTACTATTTAGCAAGTTTCACAGATTTGTTTAATCATTCAGCTAGTTACCTCATTTGTTTCAAAACTTTATGTACAGGTTATGGACTGACAAAATTCATTGCTAGCTAGCATGGGCTCATTAGGTAAGCCGCTATAATTATGTAAATAATAAGCAAACAAAAAATCAAAGACATAGTTTTATTCACCTTTGATAGCAGTAGATAATCCTGACATGACAAAGCATTCAGTGTGAACAACGTACAGTGGTGGTGAAGGTCCCGAGGTGTAGCTTAGCTGGCTAGCCTGGGGGCAACATAGGCATATGACGTTATCACGAGAGCATATTTCACACGATCTAAACATGACCTGGTGTAATTAGGGTGTCCACAAGAGTGCACATACCACGTGAAAGCCTATAATAGCCAGCCCAGTTGAAAAAATGTGATCAATCATACGATGTAGAGTTCGAACGAGACTTGAATTTTGAATGGTGTGTGTTTTGGTTTTGTGATGACGTAACATCCGGTGTCTCCAGCCAATGGGCGCGCTGAGCCCGCCCCTCCAAAAAGGGGTCAGATGAAAAATGTATCGTAACCGTAAGTTTTGACTCGTAAGCGTAGCTTGTGAATCGTAAACGTAACTAGTGAATCGTAAACGTAACTTTTGAAGCGGAACATGAAAAATCAGAACCGTAAATGTAAGTTTTAATTTTTTTCATTTACAATATATTTTTAATGTTTACAACACTACAACCTACGATTACAATTCCTGCTTTACGGTTACGCTACAGTTTTTTCGTTTACAATATTTTTTTTATGTTTACAATACTTACAACCTACGTTTACAATTCCTGCTTTACGGTTACGTTTAAGCAGACCCTATTTTGACGCCATACGCTCTTTATCGGCGATTCTGCGATAAGACATGTAAACATGCGTGATCTCAAGGTTCACTCATTACACTCTGCCAAAGTGGATGAGATAAGGCGGTTGGCTCCGAGGCTTCTGTCTGAGACCGGCGGGGTAAAAAGATTGTTGATCCACGTGGGGGCAGTAGACGTCTATGACAACACAAGTGAAAAGTTGAAACGGGATTACTCTCTGTTATTGGACGACCTTGCTAAAATGGACGCAACAATCGTTATCAGTGGCCCACTACCAAATGTGGACGGGAAGCAAATGAAATTCAGTCGTCTCTATCAGCTAAATACTTTCCTACTCAACGAATGTTCACGCAGAGGACTTGCCTTCATTGAGAATTTTAATCTGTTCTGGAATAGGCATGAGCTTTTTGAAGGGAAAGGGCCACATCTGAACACTTACGGAGTAAAAGTGTTGATGGATAACCTTTCTTTTGCCCTGAGACCTCAGCCTGCGCAGCGCGTGCAGCCATCGAAAGGGAGGAAGCCGACTCTAAAAGTCTCTGCACCTCCACCACCTCGAAGGATCTCAACACCTCCACCACCTCGAAGGATCTCAACACCACCACCACCTCGAAGGATCTCAACACCACCACCACCTCAAAGGATCTCAACACCTCCACTGTCATCAGAAGCAGCTGCATCATCACCAGTAGCAGCACCAGCAGCACGACCACCACCACCACCAACATCCTCATCCCCAGCCTGCTCCAAAGCAGCCACGCCTTCTTCATCTACAGCGCCTCTGAAGCCCCCATCCTCACCCCAGCCTACAGCAGACAGGCCTGTGCTGGGGATTCCTCAACCACCTGCCCCTCCATCAAAGACTCCCTCGCCACCTCCCATGGACCTGTCTTGGGTCCCCCCTGCCACGTCCACTCTATCAAGAGAGAATGGGGACACGTCCCTTTGTTTTTCATCCCCGCCTTCACTGTTAGACCTACCTGAACACTCTGCAGGGCTAATAAAATCGGCGATGAAGACTATTCCTCTCACACCCATATTAGCTAGATCTAGAGTCCTGTCCAACATTCTAAACCACTCCCCATATGTACCTCCAAAACCACCTAGGGTTTCCAATTTACCTACAAAAACCACCTCAGCCAGTCCCTCCCCTAACCTCATGACCATTCCACCCCCACTTCCCCCTCGTTCAACACCCAAAACCTCTGCCTCAGCCGACCCCGGCCCTAACCCATCACCAAAAACCCCTCCACCTCCCTGCCCCCCTCGTTCAACACCCAAAAGCCACCCACCTCTCCATCCTCCTCCCCCGCCTTCCCCTTCCCCTCTTTTCTCTAAACACTAGGATGCACAGGGTCTCTGCTTCGCAGCCACTGGCAGTCTAGTTAGAGGAGAGACCCTGCTGGGGCCCTGTCATGAAGCCACCTCTGCCATTCCCTTAGTGATAACACAAAGAATACATTACAGAAAAACATCTGGAGTTAATCAGTCTAATCTGGAAAATCTAATTCTTGTTCCGTGTAAGAATCAGCCGACCACAACCGCTGATACTGAAACTTTGAAACTTGCTACGCTTAATGTCAGATCTCTTTGTAACAAGTCTTTTTTAATCAATAATTTTATTTGTTCTCATAATCTTGATCTTATGTTCATGGCTGAAACTTGGCTTGACCAAAATTTAGGAAATGCAGTTTTAATAGAAGCATCACCACCAAATTTCAAGTTTGAATCCGAAATACGGGAAAACAAAAAAGGAGGAGGCTTAGCTGCCATTTTTAGAGACCACTTTGTCTCCCATAGAATGTCTCTTGGGAAGTTTTCGTCATTTGAATATGTGTCTTTTAAAATACAACAAAAACAATCTCCTCCAATACTCTTCATTGTCCTATACAAGCCACCGCAGTCATGTCACAGTTTTATTGATAATTTTACCGAGTTGCTTTCAGTTGTATGCACAGATTTTGATAGCTTGGTTATTACAGGTGATTTTAATATTCATGTGGATAATGTTGATGACAGAAATGCAAATGAGCTGAGTTCTGTACTTGAATCCTTTGATCTCACTCAGCACGTAAGTGGCCCCACCCACAGCAGAGGGCACACTCTAGACCTGTTAGTTACAAAGGGGGTGAATATTTCAAATGTAAACGTGGTCGATGTTGCTCTTTCGGATCATTTCTGTGTTTTTTTTGACATGTGTTTCACTAACAAACCACCAGTGGACTCTGCAACTGTACGAAGAAGACACATAAATGAAAATACGAGTGAACTATTTATGGGAATGATAAACTTTGAGAATGCATCGTATTCTACTGTAGATGAACTGTTTAACTCTGTCACCTCTAGTGTTTTGAATGTTCTGGATACCGTTGCCCCTGTGAAGGTTAAAATAGTGAAAAATAAGCAGAAGGCGCCGTGGGCTAAAGCAGACTCGGTCAGGGCACAAAAGAGAAAGTGCCGGGGGGCCGAGCGGAAGTGGCACAAGTCCAACCTCCAGGTTGATTACGAGATCTTCAAAGATAAGTTGTGCGACTTTAACCGGGTGCTACGTAGTACGAGAGAAAGGTATTTTTCTGAAATGATTGAAGGCTGCAGCAACAATCTGCGTGTTCTGTTCTCAACAGTTAATAGATTAACAAACCCCCCTGTTCAAATGCCATTAGAGCTTACTTCCAAACGTAAATGCAATGAGTTTGCTAATTTTTTCAATGACAAGGTTCAAGGCATCAAAAACGCCATTGTCTCCAATCCACAGATAACCATCCAACAGCCAGAAAGGCTCTCTGAGCTAACTCACTTTGCACCTGTAAATGATAAAACTGTCCAAGAGATAATCTCCAGTTTGAGCTCCTCCACATGCAGCTTGGATGTACTACCCACTAGATTTCTGAAGTCTGTTCTGAGCAGTCTGTTACCTTCACTCACACAGATAGTAAACATGTCCCTTCATTCTGGAATATTCCCAAAGGCCCTGAAAACTGCAGTCATCAGGCCCCTGCTAAAAAAGAGCAGTCTCGATGCTACGGTACTTAACAACTATCGTCCCATCTCAAATCTGCCATTTATGGGGAAAGTCCTTGAAAAAGTTGTCTACCTACAGCTTACTAGATTTCTTATAATCAACAACTCATTTGATATGTTTCAGTCCGGCTTTAGACCCCCACCACAGCACTGAGACTGCTCTTGTTAAGGTTACAAACGATATCCGGCTGAACACTGACGCAGGCAAAGTCTCAATCTTAATCTTGTTAGATCTAAGTGCTGCCTTTGACACTGTCGACCATGAGATTCTCTTACAGAGACTAGAGGACTGGGTTGGCGTCACTGGCACCGCCCTAAGTTGGTTTAGGTCTTACCTTGAGGACAGGAAGTACTTTGTGGAGATTGGAAACTGTGTCTCAGATCATATGGCCCTGACCTGTGGAGTACCACAGGGGTCGATCCTGGGACCTCTTCTGTTCAATCTCTACATGCTGCCGTTAGGTCAGTTAATACGCAGAAACAAAGTGTCCTATCACAACTATGCAGACGACACTCAGATCTATGTCTCACTGACTGCAGGAGAACATGGACCAGTGGACTCACTCCTTCACTGTATCCAACAGATCAGTGAGTGGATGCAAAACAACTTCCTTCAACTAAACGCAGACGAAACTGAAATGATTGTCTTTGGTCCCCAGAAACAAAGAGAGAGCGTCATCTGTCACCTACAGTCTCTCTCCCTAAAACCTTCAAACAAGGTCAGAAATCTAGGGGTAATACTGGACTCAGACTTAAATTTTAATAGCCACATCAAATCAGTAACCTCAGCAGCTTTTTACCATCTAAAAAACATTGCCAGGATCAAAAACATAGTGTCTAAAGCAGACTTGGAGATTCTTATCCATGCATTTGTCTCCAGTAGGTTAGACTACTGCAATGGCCTGCTCACAGGTCTGTCCAAACAGGCTGTAAAACAGCTGCAGTACATTCAAAATGCAGCAGCTCGAGTCCTGACTAGAACCAGGAAGTACGACCATATTAGTCCACTCCTCAGGTCTCTGCACTGGCTTCCTGTGGCTCAGAGAATAAACTTTAAAACAGCTCTGCTTGTGTACAAGTCTCTCCATGGCCTCGCACCAAAATATATTAGTGACATGTTAGTCCCATATGAACCAGCCCGGACTCTGAGGAGCACAGGGACTGGACTCCTGTTAGTGCCCAGAGTCAGAACTAAACATGGGGAGGCTGCTTTTCAGATTCATGCTGCTAAAATCTGGAACAGTCTTCCTGAAGATGTGAGACAGGCCTCTTCTCTGACAATGTTTAAAACCAGGTTAAAGACAGTTCTGTTTAGCTGTGCATACAACTGAGGGATTTTATATTTGTATCTTTCTTTTTAATGTTCTGTGATTATTTATGATTTTAATGCTTTCTTGTTTTGTTCAGCACTTTGAGTTGCCTTGTGTATGAATTGTGCTATATAAATAAACTTGCCTTGCCTTGCCTAAAGAATACCAAAGAATGCTAAAAGATGCTAAAGGATGCTAAAGCTAAACTGAAGTCAGGTTATAGCCCAGCAAATACCGCAATCAATCAAAACACTAGTAAATCCCAGCCCGAGTGGGAACGCTGCTTTAGTTTTCAGACCAAACGTCTTTGTACCACAGTCTTCATTGTTTCTCGATTGAATGTTCTTTTCTACTTCACAGAAAAATGACAAACCCACAAAAGATAATTATTTGCAGCTCGGGCTTTAATACCCGAATGTAGATAAGTGTTTATCCATTATTACAGCACTGTGGACTTGTTCCGACTAAATAATTTCATTTTAGAGACATGTGATTTATCGCTTTCTTTGTCTTTACTGAAGTCAAAGCCTGTTTTCTGTTCTTAATTATGAGTGTTGCCGGCGGCGACGGGAGGGAGGGCGCTTTAAAGAGGTAAAAATAGCACTTTGTAGGCGACTTGTTAGAAAAACAAGTGACAAAAGGAGATAAACAAATTAACACGATGTTGATTTTTTGTTTTTTGTTGAAGATTTATGTGGTTATTATAATACAAGCTTTATACACACGCTGCTTTAGCGAGATTTTAACCAAGTTACAACAGTGTTCCTCATCAAAAATAGACCTGGAGTTGTTTTTAGCTCCATCCATGCTAATATCAGGCACTTTGAGCACAACAACCTACATGTCCCTATTGCCTTTTCTGTCTAATGCTCTGGTTTCAAACTTGTGATTCAATTCAAACTAATTTCAATGTATTTCCATGTAGCCCTAAATCACAATAGCAGTCGCCTCGGAGGACTTTACAAAGTTGTCGATTCGCCAACAACTGATCAGAGAATCAAACTGTCCAGAACAGTAAATAGTCTTTAGACCCTCCTACTTCAGCAAGGAACCACTTGAAAACCCAGTGGGAAAAAAGTGACAAACCTTGGGGAGAAGTCTGCTAGATCTATGGGCTGGGGGCTACACACGGCCCAATTCACGTTTGTATGCCGGCCCCAACCCTCCCCCTCTGTGAACCTCATATGTCATATTGTCCACTCGACTTTCTGTGTTTCACAGCTAGAAGGTCCTGTGTTCGATTTCAATTCCAGGCCTTTCTGTATGGAGTTTGCATGTTCTCCCCGTGTCTGCGTAGGTGTCCTCCATGTGCTCTTGTTTCCCCTACCACTAAAAACATGTACAATAGGTCTGAATGTAATGAGTGAATGGATGGTGTTGATGGTCCAGTGTGTTCGGCGTCTCTCTTCCGTCATCACTATGTGGAGAGAATGGAACAATATCTGAACATTGTAAAGCGCTTTGGGTGAGCTTGGTCTGTAAACTGCGCTATATGAATAAACATTACTTACTTTCTACCTCCCCCACGAGCCCGAGCTGCTGCCCCCGCGACCCGACAACGGATAAAGCGGAAGAAAATGGATGGATGGATGGATGGATACTTACTACTTATTTAAATTAATGGGAGTCAATACCCAAGGCGTTATTGTACACTTGATGTGTGCTACCATGGCCAAAACGTTATCAGTAATTATTTATCCAACACATTCACCTCTAAATCTGTACAATACTTCTTTCCAGTTTTGGTTCAGTTTTTTTTTGATCCCAGCAAAACAAAAACAAAAATGTTATAACTGAAAATGGCACATATATATTTTGACAATATTCTCTGAAACGAGTAAAAGACACAGGAAAGAAGTTGGCGTGACCCTGGCCTGGATCAGAAGGACTTTACCTAATCTGTTTGGATCATATTTCCCAGAGTTCCCTGGGGTAGGCGTGATGTGTGCTGCTCATTAACGCAGTAATTAAGAAGAAGGAGAAAAACGACCGGCTCCCAAACATCTGCTGCAGCTAGAACTGGGACAAAAATACAGAACATCCATCTAATCTGAAAAAATCACCAAAGTATTAATAATTAAAGAACACACTCTTTGATAATTGCTTTTTTTAGTTTTTTTTTTCTTAACTTTATTGTGGTGTTTTTTTTTAAATGTATTTATTGTTGTCACCTGTATAAGCAGATAATTAGTAATACCAACTCAAACCAAGACCTCCTGCTGCAACTCTGTGGAGCACAGGGACTGACCTCCAGCTGGGACTCTGAGGAGCACAGGGACTGACCTCCTGCTGGGACTCTGAGGAGCACAGGGACTGACCTCCAGCTGGGACTCTGAGGAGCACAGGGACTTACCTCCTGCTGGGACTCTGAGGAGCTCAGGGACTGACCTCCTGCTGGGACTCTGAGGAGCACAGGGACTGACCTCCTGCTCGGACTCTGAGGAGCACAGGGCGGCACGGTGGCTGAGTGGATAGCACTCTTGCTTCTCAGCAAGAAGGTCCTGGGTTCGAATCCCGGTTAGACCAGGGTCTTTCTGAGTGGAGTTTGCATGTTCTCCCCGTGTCTGCGTAGGTTTCCTCCGGGTGCTCCGGTTTCCCCTACCACTAAAAATATGTACAATAGGTCTGGCATGTGCCTCCTGTACTGGCGACCCCCACTCCCAAAAATCACAATTGTAAACCGCTTTGAGACTCCGATGTGCAGTGAAAAGGCGGTATATAAATAAAGATAACTTACTACTACTAACTTACCTCCTGCTGGGACTTTGAGGAGCACAGGGACTGACCTCCTGCTGGGACTCTGAGGAGCACAGGGACTGACCTCCTGCTGGGACTCTGAGGAGCACAGGGACTGACCTCCTGCTGGGACTCTGAGGAGCACAGGGACTGACCTCCTGCTGGGACTTTGAGGAGCACAGGGACTGACCTCCTGCTGGGACTAAACATGAGGAAGCAGCATTTCAGATTCATGCAGCCAACCATCTTCCTGAAAATGTGAGACAGGCTTCTTCTCTGACAATGTTCAAATCCAGGTTAAAAACGGTTCTATTTAGCTGCAGCAACATACTTATCTTTTTTAATCTACTGTAATTATTTATAATTGTGTTTGGTTTTATCTTGTTTTCACTACAATAAGAGATAAAAAAAAAAAGAAAAATCTTAATTTGAGCACATTTTGACTGGCAGAACAAGATTACAAGATTTGTAATTATCTTTTTTTTTTTTTAAAGATACAAAAAATGGCCCCCTTGGAATGAGAAAATAAAGATTAAGATACAAATACAAGTTAAGCACTTTGAGTTGCCTTGTGTATGAAGTGTGCTATACAAAAAACTTGCCTTGCCTGTCTTGAATTCTCCCAGTTAACTTTGAACATTATCCTCGCTTCACAATCAGCAAAATGGCGAATCACAATCAGATATTGCTGTAAACTGGAGCAGCCCTCACTCACAAACACAAACAAAACATTTAAACTCTGACAAAAACCCATGAAATCTGTAAATCTGTTTCTCTCGCCTCCTCGGCCTCCCATGGCCCTCTCCACACGGCGTCCTGACCGCGGCCAGGAGCCAATCAAACGCCTGCGTGGATAATCTCCCATCGCTGTAAAACGGTTGAAGAGCCTCTGACAGAATCGCTGTGATCGGCGTCTCGTCTCTGCGTTCGTGGCGGCAGAGCAGAGACAGAGGCGACAGCAGAGATCTTTGTCACCGCTGACACGTTATCGCCGCCGCAGCAGGTGTAGCTTTGTGCGGAGAATGCGCAGATCGCAATCACGGCGGCGAGAAGGCGAGTGTGACACGAGAGAGAGCGCAGACAGATGTAGGGATTTTAATATACATAAAGTAGAATGCGCTCTTTCTTCAGGCCAAGCAGTTTATATAGAACAGTGAATACACAAGGAAACTCAAAGTGAACGACAAAATCATAAATAATCACACTACATTAAAAATAGTATGACCTAATCCCTCAGACCTGGATCCCCTAATCTGGATTTGAACGTTTTCAGGAAGACTGTTTCAGATTTTAGCTGCATAAACCTGAAATGCTGCCTCCTCATGTTTAGTTCTGACTCTGGGACCAGCAGGAGGCCAGTCCCTGTGCTTCTCAGAGTCCCAGCAGGAGGCCAGTCCCTGTGCTCCTCAGAGTCCCAGCCAACTAAATACATACAGAGGAATGGTCTTTCTTTCAGGTCATTCTACATAGTTCTCTCATCATGCACAGATTTTTATTTGTTTCTTGCTTCTGTGCTTTTAAGTTTACATGTATGTTATAAAAGTCTCAACCCAATCTCACCAATATTACTGTTTACAACTCAGAGAGCAGTCAATTTGACACCTTTAAGTTTTGTAACTGTAACTACTCAGCATACAGTATGTACCTTTTTGGTCTTCCATCTTATGTAAATTAAAGTTAATTCAAACACAAGACACTTCACCCACGTTAGAATGAGTTTGGTGTGTGTGTGAATGGTTAGTGGTGGTGGGAGGGGCTCATGGCACAGACTGGTTGCCTCGCATCTGTCAGTGTGCCCCAGGGCAGCTGTGGCTACAATAGTTGTTTATCACCTCTGTGTATGGAGTGAAAGAGTAATGACATGTGCGCTATATAAAAACAAAGCATTATTACTTAAGGTTTTTTAGTGTTTCTCCTTCTCTCTGCGGTGGCCTACTTTATATAATTGCACAGATGATCCACGTGTGTCATAGATGATCACTGTATACATCCAGAAGCATGAGTTGAGTCTTATCTAAACGCATTCAGCTCTTTGCCCTCACATCAAAGTCTCCGCTCCCAGTTGAACCCCCCCCCCCCCCCCCCAATGATTGACAGCAGCTTACAGTCACGCGTCAGCTCTGCGATTGGACCTAACGTTTCGCTTATAGCTGTGTCCGTTCTGCTTGTGCGTCGGCTCACATCTCCTCTGCACCTCTGGATGTGTTAAACGAACTCCGTCACACCCCATCCTCCGTCTGTGAGAGTGTGGAGTGGTCCATTACGGCGTGAGCCAAAACATTACGACTATCGACGCCTGAGGATAACGCTTCAGACGTGGAGGACGAGAACTTCTACTCAATACTGCAATAATGACATGTGCTGTAGCTGTAGCACGGTTAGCTCACTCCTATTCAATACACAAGGACCGCTGGTGCAATTAGCAAATCGCTAAAACTTCAATTATGTTATGGTGTGTATCTTTCATGATTGGATACTTGGATACTAGAATTCACACACAAAAAGCCAAATTCACAAATTCACTTTACTCTACCCTACCCTACTCTACTCTACTCTTCTCTACCCTATTCTACTCTAACCTACTCTACCCTACTCTACTCTACTCTACTCTTCTCTACCCTATTCTACTCTACCCTATTCTACTCTACTCTATTCTATTCTACTCTACCCTACTCTACTCTACTCTACCCTACCCCTCTCTTCTCTTCTTTACTCTACCCTACTCTACTCTACCCAATTCCACTCTACTCTATTCTATTCTACTCTACCCCACTCTACTCTACCCTGCTGTATCCTTCTCTACTCCACCCTAGCCCACCCCATTCTACTCTACCCTAACCGACTCTACTCTACCCTAACCTACTCTACTCTACCCTAGCCCACCCCACTCTACTCTACCCTACCCTACTCTACTCTACTCTACTCTACTGTACTCTACTCTACTTCACCCTACCCTAACCTACTCTACTCTACTCTACTCTACTCTACTCTACTCTACTCTACCCTACTCTACCCTACTCTACTCTACTCTACTCTACTCTACTCTACTCTACTCTACTCTACTCTACTCTACTCTACTCTACTCTACTCTACTCTACTCTACTCTACTCTACTCTACTCTACTCTACCCTACCCTGGTTGGGAGCATTTCCGCTGGCCCTGTTTAAATGGCGCCAGGTCCTTCTTTAGTCCCTCTTGGTCCTGGTTCTGTCCAGACAGAGCTGGTACTAAAGTGTTCTTATTGAAAGAGATTGGCCAGAGTTTGTTGTGGTTATGTTGCTAGCAAATGGTACCAGATACTAAAGCGTTTAGTTAAAAGTAAAAAAGGTGAGTGCTGCAGAGGGTACGTGTAGTATAAGGCAATAAAAACAGGTGCTCTTCGAAGATGGGGCAATCTAAGCATGTAGAATGTCAGAAGAGAAAAAAGGTAGTCTGAGGCACTCTGTTTTAGTGAAAAAATTAAAAGTCCTTTAATGAATTGGACTGCCTACGCGTTTCGACCAACAGCGGTCTTCGTCAGGGCACTAAGGCGTATTGGAAACAAGGTAGAGGTGAGTAGAGTAGAGTGGTGCAGGTGGAAATGGGGCTGTATACGGCTCATGTCACACTGTCACATACACGCGTCCCAGAGCAGAGGGTAATTGGATTTCCCTCTGCAGACGATTCTTGTGTCTCTGTTTAAGCCGTGGTTCAGGACATAATGTGATTAGCTGATGCTCTGTTTCTGCTGTTATGCTAACGCCGCACCGTGACTACATTATCACAGCTGTTTTACAAGAGAGAGAGAGACAGGTGAACAGACAAGTTTGACCATAGTACGTGTTGGGTTTTGATGAATAAGGCGGGAGTACTTTTAAAAATTGAGTTCTAAGAGCATTTCTAATAGTTTCCATTCCTCATTTACCCCATGATTATATATCCATCCATCCATGCATTTTCTTCCCCTTAATCCATTTCTGGGTAGGGGGGGTGGCAGTCAGAGCTGCACCCAGTACACTCAGCACCAGCCCCTCACTGATCCTCCTGCAGGTGGTGAGTCCACAGGAGCTGAGATCTTTCAGTGGGGGCTTCAGGCAAAGTGGTGTTAAGTGTCTTGCCCAAGGACACAATGACAGCAGTCATCAGCGGGAGTTGTGAAGTAGGTCTTACGGTGGGCTCGAACCCACGTCCTTCAGGCCCAAAGGCTAATGCTCTACCAACTGAGCTACTGTCGCCCCATGATTATATATATACCTAAGTATCTTCAACACAACACTACCCACACTTTCCCACTTCTACCCCTACATGGGAAATTTAGTGTATTTTAGTCCCCCCTTACTCACCATTTTCATCCATACATTATTCTACTACAGCCTCATTCACATAAACCTCCCATGTAAGTATGCTTCGACTAGCCTGGCTCTGCCAGACCCTTGTAGTTCCGCCATGCTCCACCAGAGGCGTTTGGCTGAACCACATGGGTCTGGTATCGAGCCCATAGCGAACGCCTTCCCCAGATTATTTTTTAATCGACCAATCAGGATTGCCGGTGTTACGTGGGGTTTGCACTGCCTTCTCAAGATTCTCTCATGCAGCAGCGAGAGGAATCCAAGATGGCGGACGTAAAGTCCGCGAATCTTTTTAAAAGAGTAAATTTGATCGAATTAAGACATGGATGTCACTTTTAATGCAATTTGAGGCGAGATGTAGATGGTTCTATGTCTATATGTGTGTTTTAAGAGTCAAATGTTCCTGTAAAGTTTGGTTGAAGCACTGGTTCAGTGTTCCTGTTTACACTATGCAGCAGGGTTGCCAGGTTTGGTGGTTCCCGCATATTTTTTTTCCAAGAGACTTGTAGGTATTAAATAAACAGAAAGACAATAAACAGAATCATGATAGCCCATGTTGATTACATTACGTTTTTAGCCAAAAAATCATACTGAGTGTTTTTTTTTTTGGGGGGTATTCTCGTGGATTTTGGGTTGGAAAATCTTGCTGGGATTTGGCAACCTATGGGAGCCGTGTGCTTCGATGTGAGTGGTCGAAAGCAGACTTCATTCAAGATAACGGACAAGTGATCTATCCAATCACATACAAGGATTTATTTTACAAGGCCCTGCCTTCTGAAACCACTATGGCTCAGTACCAGACTCATGTGTGAAGTGCAGCGAACTACATGGGTCTGGCGAGAGTCAGGCTATGCTTCGACAGTAGCGGGGTACTTGTTGTTCAGATAACAAGTCCTGTGTGTTTCCCTGTACTTTCACAGCATTCCGTGCTATTCACATAAACATACCAAGAAGCAGAAATGTGTACAATGACTTTTCATTATTCATTTTTTGTTGGAAAAGCACTTTCTGTATTAGCTTAAAGCCCCCAAGTTTACAATAGTTACTGTATTCTTTCAGTAGCTCTAGGAAAGGATGGCTGGGTGACTTTTTTAATTCCAAGACATCAGAATGCATTATTTTACTCTATTTTATTTTTGAATTTTAAGAGCAATAAATATATTTTGTTAAGGAATTCATGTTTTTTTGCTGGATTAATCGTTTAGAAAACAATCGTTTATCCCAACCCTACTATCTACCCTACATACCTATCTATCTATCTATCTATCTATCTATCTCTCAGTCCGTTTGCTGACTTCCTCTTTGTTGTTTGGTTGCAGGTGATGAAGGTGAACCTTTCGGAGGGCGACAGAGTGGTGTTTGAAGACGACAGCTCCGTCTTGGCCAACGAGAGCATCCTGATGAGGGGCCTGGTCGTACGCAGCCGTGGGAACCAGCTGTCGGTGCGATTCCACAGCGCAGGGCTCCGGTCAGGGACACTGCTGCTGCGATACCAAGGTATACCGCCTCCTTCACATGGGACGGGGGGGTTAAAGCTGGGGCACTGAACTTTCTATCTAGTGATTATGGAGGTGATAGTAGTTCTCTGGCACCCCCCTCTGCTGTTTCCCCCTTTGCTGGCGTCAGTAATTGTGTTCTCTGTTGGCTTCCCATTGAGATGAATGAGAGTACCTGGTACAGTGGTCACTCACTTTAATGTGGTTCACATTTTGCCTTTTTGTGTCTCTTGCTGGTCTCTCTGGTCTCTCTGGTCTCTCTGGTCTCTCTGTTCTCTCTCTGGTCTTTCTCTCTCTGGTCTAACTTGTAAGTAAGTAAGTAAACTTATTTATATACCGCCTTTCACAGACCAGAGTCACAACTTGGTTCTCTCTCTGTCTCTCTCTGGTTTCTCTCTAATGTCTCTCTGGTCTCGCTCTCTGGTCTCTCTCTGGTCAATCTCTTTGGTCTCTTTCTAGTTTCTCTCACTGGTCTCTGGTTTTCTCTCTGGTCTCTTTCTGTTCTCTCTCTGGTCTCTCTATGGTTTCTCTCTCTGGTCTCTCTCACTTCAGCAGTCACGAGTTCAGGTGGTTAGAAACGTGTATAAAGTGAGGGGTTTTACAGCCTTACAACATAGAACTTCTACTTCACGGATTTTGATTATTGCGGATTATTTCTAGAAGCTAACCCCCATCTTTGTTCAATGGAAAATAAACTTTCGGCTAAAGATAATGGGAACGTTTGCAATCATAATCTCCATGCCATAGATCACCACTATGTCTTTTGCTGGAAAATCTCTCTATCTTCTCTCCTTCTGCTATAAATAAGTTTGTCCCAGTGTTTTACGGCCGCAGACTGTGGCTTTATTAAATCTCATGGCCGTGCGAGACAGCCCATTCCTCACCGCTCTGTGTTAACGCTACATCAGCACCAGGCATCCCATAATCCAACACCAGCGGGAAGTTAGGGCCGAGGATTACGGCTGAACACAGAGGGCAAACTCGATCTGGTGCAGATTTAAAAGTCTTAAAGTGCATTGTCCACAGTCCGCTGAGCTGCGAACACCGCCCAGGGTTGAGGCTGCTGTTCTGATCCGCGGCAAGAGGCCAAAGGTTTAAGCGATTTTAAATGTGTTTTTGTAAATAACGGGTTTTAAAACATTCGCTGTTTTCAATGTTAAAAGGGACCTAATCTTATTTTGTTTGTATATTGTGGTATTTTTTTGTATTAAATAAAACTCATTTTGACAGATAGTTTCACCCTTAGCAGTTTCTATCAATAATAATCATGCAAAAAGACATTCGCGGAAAAATTGGCGAGACCGGAAGTGACGTACACATAGGTGTCATTGGGCTTTGTTGATATGCATTTGTAAGCCATAACGTTGTATATGGACGTTTTAAACAGATATTCGTTATTCAGTGATGGACAATACAAGTCAGGGGCTTTTATTTATGAGCCCTTGCGTTCTTATTATGACAGTCATTCTGATTATGACTCTGACTCGGTTCAGATGAGGAGCAATCTCCAAGAAATGGACATTTGCGGACATTAGGGCCGTTTCCACGGGCTGGAGTTATGGATCTATGGTCCGACCGGGTCCGATCCGTCTCGACCCGGTTTGCGGATGCGGTCAGTTTGAACTTGATGGTCCACCCGAGTGAGTGTAAATAGCTAACTGTTAGCGAAGGTAGCGCTAGGGACGAAGGAGTACATCAGGGACATCGTAGTGCAGAGAAAAGTTTAGAAGCATAAAAGTGACTACCGTGAAATGAAAGATCCCAGCCGTAAAAGCGGAGAGACAACATGGATTGACGCTATTTTTACGGACACCAGCTAACAAGCTAACACCAGCTAACACGTCAATACTCGCAACTCAGAAACCTCAACTCTATGTCCCAGCTCCAGATGTCGAGTTTGAGAGAAATGGTGAGTGTCTTCAATCAAATGCAAACATGTAGCGTTATGGTCTTATTCTGAACATGTGTCTGTGGTTCTAAAGTCTCATACTGAACGTGTGTCTGTGGTTCTAAAGTCTTATTCTGAACATGTGTCTGTGGTTCTAAAGTCTTAAACTGAACATGTGTCTGTGGTTCTAATGTTATGTCTTTTCAATTGTGGACCCCAAAGCAGAGTTGAAACAGGCTGACGAAGAACAACAATTTATTTACAGTCCAAAACAAAAGTAGAAAGAACAAACTGTAGGCAGGCTGAGGTGACAGAGGCGCTGGCTGGAGACTTGGAGGTGCAGCAACCAAGGATCTGGGAAAAAATTGTATGAGTAAAAAAGCGAAATAATCACAGGAACAGGCGCACGAGGACACTACCGTGTGTGACGGAATTATCTGGCACTGAAGAGCAGTCCAAACTGGGCTTAAGAAGCCAGGTGTAAATTGGCTGCAGGTGTGTCTGCTGCACCGTCCAGCCACACCCCCATCACCACAAGCTCTGCAGAAAAACAAAAAGGGAGGGGGGAAGAAACAGAGCAACACAACCCTCACAGTACCCCCCCCTCAACGGACGCCACCCGGCGGACCACCGGGCTTCGAAGGGAAGCGAACATAAAAGTCCCGGAGGAGACCCCGGTCCAAAATGAGAGAGCGGGAAACCCAGGAACGGTCCTCCGGGCCATACCCCTCCCAGTCAACCAAATACTGGAACCCACGACCGCGCCGCCGAACATCCAACAAGCGGCGGACAGTGAAGGCAGCATGACCATCGACGAGCCGGGCGGGCGGCGGGGGCTCGGCCGGAGGGCTAAGTGGACTAGACAGAAACGGCTTCAACAGAGAAACGTGAAAAGCAGGATGCACATTCACGGAAGGAGGCAGCTTGAGCCGGACAACCACCGGATTAATGACCTTGTCTATCTCGTACGGTCCAATAAACCTGGGGGACAACTTCCGAGAATCGGTTTGCAGGGGAAGGTCCCGAGTAGACAGCCAAACCTTCTGACCCGGTTTGTATTCAGGAGCAGGTGAACGTCGACGGTCAGCAAGATGACGGTTACGTGCCGCAGTCCGTGAAAGGGCCGCACGAACCCCGTGCCAGACACGTCGGGCTCGCTGAAGATGTAGTTGGATGGAAGGTACTGCAACTCGAGTCTCCTGGCTCGGGAAAAGAGGAGGTTGAAAGCCGTTAGCAGCCATAAACGGGGACATACCGGTTGCAGATGACACCAGGGTGTTGTGGGAGTACTCAATCCAGGGGAGATGAGAAGACCAGGAAACTGGGTGGCGAGCAGTAACACAGCGAAGGGCAGCCTCCAAGTCCTGATTGACCCGCTCAGTCTGGCCGTTGGTCTGCGGATGATACCCCGACGATAAGCTGGAGGAGCACCCCACAGCATGACAGAAGGCCTTCCAAACCTGAGAAGTAAACTGCGGCCCTCTATCAGACACAATATCTTGTGGTATGCCATGGAGTTTGAAAACATGTTCAATGAGTAATTTAGAGGTCTCAAAGGCGGAAGGTAACTTCGGCAGAGAAACAAAATGCACAGACTTGGAGAATCGGTCTACAATCGTCAAAATTACTGATTTTCCCTCAGAAGGAGGAAGACCAGTCACAAAATCAACAGAGATGTGAGACCACGGACGGTGCGGAATAGGAAGTGGACGGAGCAACCCAGCAGGTGCTTGGTGAGAAGACTTGCTGCGGGCACAGACTGAGCAGGCAGCAACAAACTCTCTGGTGTCTGCAGACATAGATGGCCACCAAAAATGTTGTTGAACTAACTTGAGAGTCCGGTGAAATCCAGGTTGGCAAGCGACCTTGGAGGAATGTCCCCATTGAAGAACCTCCGACCTGGCAGAACGAGGCACAAAAACGCGATCCGGAGGACAACCCTCAGGAGATGGTTCATTAACAGAGGCCTCCCGAACGATCCTCTCCACATCCCAGAAAGCTGCACCAATAATGCAGGTGGAAGGGAGGATTGTCTCACTCTGTGAGTCTTCGACAGGTGGGGCAAACTGCCGAGACAGGGCGTCAGGCTTTATATTCCTGGAGCCAGGACGGTAAGTGAGCACAAAGTTAAATCGACCCAGGAATAGCGCCCAGCGCGCCTGTCTGGAATTCAATCTGCGGGCAGAACGGAGGTAAGACAAGTTCTTGTGGTCTGTCCATACCACAAATGGCTGTGTGGTCCCCTCCAACCAGTGCCTCCACTCCCTTAAAGCCTCGATAACGGCTAGTAGCTCGCGGTTACCGACATCATAGTTCCGTTCCGCTGGAGACAGTCGACGAGAGTAGAATGCGCAGGGATGTAGCTTCTGGTCAGGGAATGAGCGCTGAGAAAGGACTGCGCCTATCCCAGAGTCTGAAGCATCCACTTCCACGATATATTGGGCTGAAGGATCTGGATGAGACAAGATAGGAGCAGAACAAAATAGCTCCTTGAGCTTATTAAAAGAACACTGCCTCAACTGACCATTCAAAAGGCACTTTAACAGAAGTCAATCTCGTAAGCGGGCAAGCAACTCTACTATAGTCCCGAATAAAACGTCTGTAGAAATTTGCGAACCCCAGGAACCTCTGAAGTTGCTTCCGGTTGAGAGGCGTGGGCCACTCTGCCACGGCCTTGACCTTATCTGGGTCAGTTCTAATCTGCCCCTGCTCAACGATAAAACCCAGGAAACTAACAGAAGTCAAATGAAAATCACATTTCTCAGCTTTTACATAGAGTCTGTTCTCTAACAAACGTTGGAGTACAAGTCTTACATGTTGGACATGTTCCTGAATGGAACGAGAAAAAATCAAAATATCATCAAGATAAACAAACACAAATCTGTTTAACATATCCCGCAATACATCATTAATAAGAGCCTGGAACACTGCTGGAGCATTAGTCAAGCCAAATGGCATTACCAGGTATTCGAAATGTCCCAGTGGTGTATTAAATGCTGTCTTCCACTCGTCCCCTTCTTTAATGCGAACTAAGTGATAAGCATTGCGGAGGTCGAGTTTGGTGAAAACTGTAGCATCATGAAGGTGACTAAAGGCGGAGTCCATGAGTGGCAGGGGATATGTGTTCTTAACAGTGATATCATTCAGTCCCCTAAAATCAATA